TCTCTCTCTCTCTCTCTCTCGTGCCCTCCGACTGCAAGCCAGGACAAACATGCGAGCAATGTGGTGGAGAAGTGTTTCGAGGCTCCGTCCTGAAGGGATTCTCTTCTTCCCGAAGGGAGGTTCCAATTACGTGCGCCTAGCGGGTGAGCAGCTTTCTCTGGATTGGGAGGCTTCAACCACCGGTGAACATGCTCGCGGCTGAGTCCCACCATCAAGAAGGGTACAGCAGAGAGGCGGAGAGTCTCCTCCTTTGCCTGGCACATGAAGGCGGCGTTCCTGAAGGAGGAGCGCCAGCGCCTGATCCGCGCCGTCCTGGGACCCGCGCCGAAGGCAAGGGAGAGCGGCTCCGCTGCAGAAGCTCCAGACCGCACGTTCTCTTAGGATCCATCGGATCGGAGCTCGCCGTTGGCGCAGCTGATGGATGACAGGCCGCGGCTTTCAGAGCCGAAACCCATGTACCCAACTGGTAACAAAGAGCCCCAACTAAATGCGCCCCGCATGTGCGCCGCACGTGCCGCCCTGCAGAGGTTCGGGAAGTACGTGGCCAACAGCTTGGTGGAGTACAGCCGAGGACCCGAGGAGCGAGCCCTTAATCTACCTTAAAGAGCAGTTCAGCACCGGGGGGGGCTTGTGGGCTCGGGCCCGAGGCGAGATGGCGTGTGCTTTCTGCGCTTGGAGTGGGCAGGAGATGAAGGTCCTCTACAGTCGCATTGCCTCCTCACCCGGGCGGCGGCCCGAGTGCTCTTCGGAACAGCAGGGAAGCAGTCACCCGTGTCTTTCCGGATTCCTCCGGACGCAGGAAGAAGGCAGCAATCACCTCGCTGCTTGAGATGCCGCGAGCCGAGAAGTGCTCACGTTTGGCGAACCTTGGCGGAGAGTGTTCGAGGAAGCAGAGGTTGTTGGCGCTTTACTTGTAGGTTGGAGAGGCAGCTTCAGCAGGCTCAGCTGCAGCAGCCCGGAGCCCGGGGACTGCGGTGCTGAGCGAAAGGGTTGCTCTGACTCGCAGAGACCTGCTCATTTGTTGAGGCATCAGTTTGCGCAGCAGCAGCTTATGCAGCTTCAGATGCGGACCAAGGCGCCACCATCCAGGAGGGACAGCAAACTTTGCTACTTTGTTGTCTGATGATCCAGAAGAGGGAGGAATTAGCAATGGCGCTCTAGGTCCCTAGGTCCTCGGTAAAGCCCACGGCCCATGGCCGTTTCAAGGCTTCCGTGCTTGCCTTCGAATTCCCTGTTGTGCCATGTAAACGCCAGCCCCCAGGACATAGGGTCACCAGAGTATCCATGCCCGAGCCCCACGCCCATTCCCCAGTGCGTGCAGTGCGTGGAGCTCTGAGAGCTTCCATGCCCCAGCCATGATAATCATCATCTCATGGCGTGCATCCATCTCCGAGTGCACAGAGTGACGACAGCATCCGTTCCTTAGCCAGGATTACATTCGACCTGCAGCTCTTAGGGGCCTGCTCGTTTGAGTTCACGTGCACGCCAGGGCGCCAAATGACAGAGCTGGGAGCAGCTGTGGAGGCCAGCGGTTTCTCGAGAGTTGATTGGCGAGTTTGGTGATGTTCTCTCAAGGGTGCGCTCCTGCCTTGACAAAGACTAGCTGACTAGCCAGGTGTCTGAGCCTTTGGAGTGACGGCAGCCCCTGTGTCTCGACTTGCAAAGCTCTCGCGAGGTTCCGTGTAGGCAGTGCTAGCGCAGTGCGACGGCAGCCCAGGTACCGAAGGGCCGCCTCAGCCCCACGACATTTGCAAGCAATGCATGGGCTTACCGGGAGTCTGGGGGGCTCAGGTCGGGCCTTGCACAGAAGGCAGGACAAGGGCCTTTGCCAGGGTCCCAAGAAGAAGAAGCGAGGAGATTTCTGGAAAAATCCGCCCTTTCGGACGCCGAGGACCAAAGGCGTTCAGCTCCGGCTGGGTCGAGGCAGCCTCGGAAACGTTGGTTTCTGCATCCTTCGGAGTCTCTGCCATGGCCTAGGTGTCCGTCAGGAGAACTGAGCACAGCTCGTTGAATGACACAGATTCTTGAGACTTGAGGTTGGGGTATGTTGGGTAAGGGAGGATTGGTGAACAGGTGTAGCCAGCCTTTCGGATTCAATGGAACACGTTGAGTTTTTCAACCGCCATGCCCGTGAGTTCTTCACGATGTTGCCCAACAATGGACCAAGCGACAGCGTCAAGAAGGCGACGTCGAAAGAATTCCTGAAGCATGGAGTGGCCTGCAGAACAGTTTGAATTTTTGCAGCACCGTTGTGCAGCTGCTTGCGCACCCTCAAGCCGTAGAGGTGCGAGGTCGGGGCTGGTCTGTGATTTCAGCTTATTGAGGTTTCGGATAGCGAGGCTTGCAAAGGCAGGCACAACAAGCTGACAGCATCAACGCTGCGAATGTTTCTCGATGAGTGAGTGGGTCCGGCACAGCCTTCGTCATGCTGGCTCTGTGTGTGAAGCTCAAAACCCACAGGACATGCAAGCTTCGCCCAAAGTACCCTCGAACATGCGCGACATGCCAAAGCCAGTCTAGTGTCTGCCAGATCTTCGGATAGCTATGTACAAATGCACTTGGCAAGTGCTGCAAGTCTCTGAAGCTGTGTGGAAGCCCGTCACTGGAATTAAGAACTCGCTCTCAAAGGCAGTTTCGCCTTCCGCATGCTTCAGCCCCGAGGTCGCCAGCTCACTCAGAGCTTTTGAAGGTGCCGCGAAGCATGATATGCCAAAGCGTGCAGCATCCCTTCAGCACAGTGTTGCTTGTCGACCCTGCTACAGGCCATTGGGGGGTCATGACGTACCGTTGCTGACGAGAATTCGAACCTCAATTTTGAGATTTCCCGTAGTGTCGGACGGTTCCCTTCCTCTGAGCGCCGAACATGTGCAGATTCCTTCTTGCTGTTCCTTTGAGCTACGGGAAATTCCACGATGCATCGTTTCCGGACTCCGGAGTGATGTGTCCTGCGCACAGACGTTGTAAAGATGCTACAACGTTCTTGCACGGGTGGCAGGCTTTCGCGCTTCGCCTTCTGCTTTCTGTCCCTCTAAGCTGACAACATTGCCAGGGTCCCCTTCTGCAGTTTGTCCGTGCCACCTGTGGTGTGCTTCCACAAAGAGGAGCACTCGAAGCACAGAAATGACGGCTTAGCCCAATACAAGGCATTCAAACAGAGTGCACACGGCTGGGCTCAGCGCTTCTGTGCTTGCGGTTCCTCGCCCTTGCTCCTACTTCGTAGCCGCCTTCAAGACGATTTGAAAGCCAGGCAAACAACCCGGTGACGGATGACATTCAGACGCGGCAATATCGATCTCCCGAGGCTTATTCTGACCCGTTTCGCGATTTCTTGCGGTCCAGCCCAGCTTGATGCGCAGGTAATCATTGGGGCCAAGTGGGACGAGACGGCAGATGTGGCGCCCTTGCATCGTTTCACTTGAACCTCACATGCGCTTTGGCAGTTCGAAAGGTCTGGAGTGCAGCCTGCATGTTCTTCGAGCTGGCGACGGGCGACTACCTCTTCGACCCCAAGAAGGGGGAGGTTGGCACATGTCGGCAAAAGGAACAGGCTGCCAACCATTTGGTGCATCCAGGACTGGAATCGGGAGGAGGACCACTTGGCCCTCGTCGCCGAGTTGCTCGGAGACCTGCCAACGAAGGCACCCAGGGCACATCACGGTCACGGGAAGCTCATGCAAACAAGCACTGGCCCCCAAGGAATTTGCTTTGTCGGGGCGCTACTCCAAGGTGCAGCTGGCAGTCCGGCACGGGAGACACGTCCAGAGTCTCGCACCGGAAGGACTTCTTCACCAATGCGGCCAAGCTGAAGCACATCAAGAAGCTGAAGCGCGAAGCCTTTTTTTTCTTGCTGCGGGGCAGTGTCTCCTCCTGCGCCGCCACTGCAGGATGTGGCCTCTGGAGGGCGTCCTCCAGGAGAAGTACCGCTGGGAAGAGGCCGAGGCTCTGGAGGCGACTGAGAAGCGAAATGTGCTGTGCGGCCACCGAGACTCTGCCACTCCCGAGGGTTTCGTGAGCTTTGTTTTTTCAGATGGCGGACTTCCTCCTGCCGATGCTGACATGGCAGCCCAGCCAGCGGCAAGCCGCTTCCGAGGATCGCCCTGGCCCGCGCTGCGGGGGCTGCGCCTGCGCCTGCCCGCAGGCTTTGAAGCACGCCTGGGTGCAGCCGCGCAACGGCGAGACGGATACCTGGCCCGCCCCGGCCTCGGCTTTGGGACCTCCGGAGAAAATTTTGTCGGTCCCGGCAGCCTCGGGGCTCAAGCAGGCGCCTCAACGGTGCGATGGCTTCGAGAAGACCGAACAGGTGGCTTCTGAAATGAGGCTTTTGGCCACCTCCCTCCCTGCAGCAAAGGTGTCCGAGAGCATCACGGAAGCGCCTGCATCGCCTGCCAGCCCCGAGGAGGCTTTGAGCGAGACGGCGTTCACTTCTGACCTGCAGCTGTTTTCTGCTGTGTTTTCTTTTTGCTGTTCTCTTGATGTCGAAGCGCTTACTGACTGCTGGGACCACTTGGATTCCGACTTGGATTGCGGAAGAAACAAACCGAAGAGCCAAGTCAAGTCCTTCGTGTCATCCTCGCATCGTCGCGGCAGCGCGTAAGAGGCCGAACCCGAGCAAAAAGGCCACAAAACCCACCCGGAGCCTAGCGGCCCACAAGTAAATTGAAGTGGTCGCAGCAACCGCCTTATTTCTCTGCATGCCAGGTCTGAGATGGCCATGCCCGAAGTTGGATTGGTTCTACCTCCTCCAAGAGGAGGACGACCCTGCCTCAGTGGTGCCACAAGGGAGGCATTTTCCGTGGCCAGCAGATAGCGGGCAGAAAGCTTGCACTCAACTTTTGGAACAATGTGGGGCTTTGTGCAGATGAGTGCAGCCGTTGCAGCCGTCATGCCCACAAAGCCACATCGCTTGTGTGGGCCGGTGGGAGTGGCGGCGACGTTTTGAAGCGCGTTCTTACACTGTCAGATCCCCCGCAGGTTAATTGTTTGGTGGACAGATCCGCATTAAGACCTGCGTCGCCTGTCGCTTGCATCGGGGAAGAAGGGAGCTGCAGGGGCATAGTCTGAATCCAAGGCATCCCGCTGAAGGGCTTGGGTCTCGAGTCTGCAGGATGGTAACGCATTGCTGCTGCCTTGACCTCGGAGACCTCAGATTGAAGCTTCAAAGGCACACAAGGAAGATCCTTGACAGAGAAGCAAAGGGCTCTCCCTGAAAGCTGAGCTCTGCAGCAGCCGAGAGAGACCTTTCTTCCGAAGAGCCCTCTGCCATGCCGCCGAGAGCCGAGCGCCGACTCTGAGTGATGAACGTCGCCCTTCTCTGTCTCTCTTGGGTCAGGAGCCAAGCGGAGGGTCCTAGGGTTGTGTGTTTTGTCGGGGAGGCCGGATTCCTGCAGCCCTAAACCCTCGCGACCCTAAACCCTAAACGGCCCTAAAGCCCTAAACCCCCAGCCTCTGCTTGGCACTCAGTTGCTCTCTGCGCTCGGCTCAGGTGCTCGCTGAGCTGGGACTGGGAGCTGCTGCGGCGGATGTCCAAAGCCGAAAGCCTCGGTTTGTCCAGCCTCCTCTTGGACTTTTCCCTGCGGCAACCCTAAACCCTGTAAAGCCCAGAAACCCTATAAACCCTAAGCGTTTAAACCCCAAACAACTCTTTGATCGCAGCGTTCGCAGCCTCGGTCATGGCCCCTCCTTTGTTCGGCGATCGGAGGCTGGTGGCATTGGCCCTGGTCGCTCTTTGCAGGCTCCGAAGCGAAACGAGATCTGCAAAAGCTGCGGAGATCTGCACTGCAAAGCCCGCAAAAGGATTCCGAAAAGAAGACCTCCAAGAGGTCTTTGAGGACTCGCCGCTTCAAGATTGTAGGAATGCAAGGCTGTGCTGTTCGCTGTTGAGAGACATCATGCGGACACTCGCATGGACAACTGCGGTAACTCCGGGTCAGTACAGTTCTGTCAGATTTGCCAGGAGGCTTGTCCGAAGCCAGCAGGCCCTGTTGAAGAGCGTGATCCACTCAGCCCGCACAGCTGCCAGCTCCACTGACAGCCCGCACTGACCCCCTGAAGTGCAGGTCACGCAGACGCCTTGGAAGTGCTGCTTGCAGAGGCCACGGCGTGTTTGAGATCGCGCGAAGCTTCTAAGTGGCTCCTTTTGCACAGGAGCGCTGCCCGTTTGTGGCTGCGTTCTTCTCGAGCTCCTCACCACTGTCCCAGTCGGCAAAGCTTGTCCCTCGACCTTCGTTGGGCCCCTCCCTCCCCGAGCATGAGAAGAGATCGCAAAATGGGGATGGTTCAGGCCCTGACCGAGCAGAGGCTCGCGAGCTCGTTCCCGGCCTTGAGATACGCCCCTTGGAAAAAGTCACTGAAGTGCGCGAATCACAGTCGGTTGGACTTTCGTTCAGCCCCCTTGATTCTCATGTCCAGCAGCCAAGATCCGAGTCGAAACCGAGCAGATGAGCATTCGCACATTTCTGCAGAGCTTTGGCTGAGAAGCCGCGACATGTGGTGCTGGACGTCGTTACGGATCAGTTTTTGTCAGCCAGCAAAGGTGGGATATTAACTACTTGCCCACCTATGTTTTGTTCTGGCCATCAAACTCATCAAGCCCGTGGCAGCGCTGGCAATCTGGAAGGCATGCCAATCCGTATGTTGCCGGCCAGCAACATTTTTCGAGCAGGTGAGTCGCATGTGCATGAACGGCTTTGAAGGTTTTAGTTTCAGTTGGCATGGAGCTCCAAGGATTACGGAGATGTGTCGGCGTGGATCGCGCAAGCCACAGGCGGAAGCGGGCAGAGGGTAGATTCAGCAGCCTTCGAGATTTTCCTGCGTTCGCAGGGCTGGTCCCACAGAACAGCTCCCATCTCTCGGCGGGGCCTGTCCCAGTGCGGGGGCTTTCCCGCTCGTCCCCCCTGGGCTTCGGTTGGGCTCTGGTGGCTCTGACCAAAATGAAGCCATGCGCATGGGCTTTCCCACAGCTGTGAGCTGAACATTGAGGTGGTCATCGCTGTGCTCCACAGACTTCTCAACCGGACACCCTTGGAATGAGAAAAGGGAAGTCTCAGAGCGTTTTTTTTTCCGACTCCAGCCGCTGTGAACACAGGCACGAGACGCATCGAAATGCCTCTTCGAGGCTCAAGCAGGCAGTGAAGGAAGCGGGACGGACCCCTGGCGCTTGGCCATGGCAAACGGTGCCCTTAGCGCCTCTTTAGCTGCAGTTTCTATGTTCCGGCCGGAATCCTTTCTTGGGTTTGGGGGGCTCCGCTTCCGCCCGAGGCCCTGCTCCACGTCCTGGGGCTGGTGCTAGTGATCTTGGAGCCTTCGTCGCAGAAGCACAGCACCAGCATGAGTGTACCCTGCGATTGCCTGCGATGCTTGGAAGGTCAGATCCAGGGTGTGGGCACGAACAGGCACGAATGCAGATAGCAAAGCCGTCGGTATGGGGCGCGAGGTTACCTTTCGCGAGGCTTTGATGTACGCTGTGCGTAAGGTGTGAACCGCTTGGGCTATTGTGGTCCTGCACGCTTTCAAACTTAATCCCGGAACATGCCTGAACCACAGCCGAGCTTCGCGCTAACGCAAACTGTCCACGATGCGACTTTCTAGTCGATTTCTGTGCGGTCTCTGGCATCTCTGGCGTAGCGATGCGAGTGATTCTGTCCAGAACCCGCTGAAGGACCGGAGCCCTTTCAATTTCAGGCACAGCAAAATGGGCACCCGAGAAGAAGACCAGAAAGAGGACTTGGGGGAGCAGCAACCTTGGCAGCGAGGGCGGCAAACAACAGCAAAAACACAAAGCCGACAGCATCGCCATCAACAGCAGCATCGTCAGCTGCGCAGCCGAGGACTTCCTAATATGGATCTTGACGCTCGGCCACGACCCCGAAACCTAGCAAGAGACTGGTGCAGTCGACGCTTCGAAGAAGTTTGCGTTGAAAACCCCCAAGGCCCGGTGTGGATGCTGCAGAAGACCCTGGCCGGAGTACCGGAGTTCGCGCGCGAGAGGCTCACATGGTGGGAGACAGCAGAGGGCGCCGTTTCAGCGGAGCCCCCTATCCGCCCTGTCCCTCCGTGTCACTCCGTGTCACTTCTCCTTGCACCCGAGGGCCGGTCCGGAAGGCGAAGATCAACGGCAGCGGCCCGGGCTCGGACGCGGCTCGGCACGCCAATAGGATGGCCGATCTCGGCCCCTCTCCGGGGGGCCCCACCGTCACGGCACTGAGAGGTGTGGCAGGCGACACAGGCGGCTGATGATGGGAAGCTCCTCACGTCTCCGCATCCAGAGGAGGCCGGGCCACGGGCGAGGGGGCCCGAAACGGGAGCTGCAGCAGCCGCTCAGGGCGTCTTCACCGTCTTCCAGATGCTCGACCGCTCCTTCAAGCGCTTGATCCTCAGTGGCCGGAGATCTGCAGGAGTCACCGCTCACGCATCAGCTTCAACCTCCCTGACAATGTACATGTTCAGGCCAAACAGAGGGCCCGAACTAGCTAGCAGCTAGAGTATAAGGCCTCATGTGATATACCTTACGCATGTAGCGCTCTTGGTGCGCTGCTTCGAAGCAATCAGAGTTCCATTCTCTCGGCATTGGGGGTAAGAGAACGACCGGCAAGATGCTCCTCTGGAGTTGCAAAGTTTCAGACGGAACCCGACGATGCATTTACAAAGCTGGATGCTGTAGAGGGCGGGGTGGTCTGCTTTCCTTGAATGGAGCAGGGCAAGATTGAAAAAGAGGCTCATGAACCATGTTTCGAACTGGAATCTCCATGCCGAGGGTATGCCACGAGCAAGGCGCAGGGCATCAGACCTCTGCTGTCCTGGAAGAAGGCTGGAATCACGTCATTCAAGGAACCTTCAAACGCCATATAGATGCCCCTCAGTGTGCTGAGGAGGAGGGATATCGATTTCCTGCAAAGGCTGCTGGCTCGGCATCTCTCGAGCCTCGTTTCTTTCTGCCTGCTCCTCCGAAGGTGTTCGGTCCGACTCAGTGGAGGACCTATGCAGAGATGGGCAAGCTTTGCAAGGCTTGCACATGGTCGGTCGCCTAAAAGCTCGCCCTTGATCTGCGTTTATGGCCAGGAGTTCGGGGCTGGGCTCAGAGCGCTTGGCTTGGAGTTGGGAGCTCAGGGAGCTCGAAGAGCTCTCGCTGTGTTCAGGTTGCTGTGTGACTCACCGAGGCCGCAGCCTGAAGGTGACTTCGACAGCATGACTGGGAAGTTCAAGATTCTCATGTACGAGGCCTGGCTTGTGGGCTTACGCTCGGCACTTCAGCTGCGGGATGTGCCTGCTTGAGGACACCTGTGCAGACTGGCAGATCTGCGCGCTCCTCCGGCAGAGTTTTGGCATGGCACCGGATGATGTAATACATTATATACTATAATATACTATACTTGCTATCCTATACTATACTATACTATACTATACTATACTATAATCTATAATATACTAGAATCTACCAAAATATGCTACTAGAATACACGATAATATACAATGCCCGGTCAGCGGAACTTATTCATTGCAACCTTCGTTGCCAGTTACGGAGCGCTGACGCAGAACCTGGTAGTTGCCACCTGCTACGCCACCCTCGGAACCGATGCGGTCGTCCACGCAGTGAACGAAGGTTGCGGGGCTCGGGTTGCAGAGCAGCTTCGTGTGATGCTGGCGATGCTTCCTAGTGACGTCGTGTGGCCCTTCGCAGCAGGTGCAGTTACTGCCTTGGTCTGCAACCGAAAAGCTGCCGAGGGCCGCTCGTCCTAGTGCTGTGCAGCGCAGTGCAGCACAGTGCAGATCGTTTTCGATGGTTGTTCTCAGCTGCTGAGAGGGCTCGTGAAGATGGCCTCCGAGATGCCTTCGCTGGAGGCAACTCGACCGACTCGAGCTCAGTCCGTCGTCGTGTCGCCCTTCGTCTCCGTCTTCAGGTCATCATCTATCTGGACAACCTCTGCACGTTGGCGACCCAGGACTCAGTCCGCCCTATGCCTGTTGCTCATCTCGCCGGACTGGCAGGCCGGATGAGTGCAAACACCGCCTGACAGCTGCGGGCAGCGTGAAGTTGCTGTCACTGCACTCTCGGCGGCGATTATCTCACTCTCACCATGATGTATGGCCTGTCCATGGCATATTCGGTCAGGCAAGACGTCCTCGACCTGGGCAAGGCACAGCAGCAAGCTTGCAGCAAGCTTGATAAAAGCCAGATGACACGTCTCGCTTGCCGGAGGCCAACCTCGTGGAGCCTAGCCCTCCGAAGCCGGAGTCCGTGGCGGTGTTAATGTGCGCGGCCTCCCTTCTTAATGGCCTGCCCTTGCGCTCCTCCTACATCGCAACAAGGTACACCAGCGGCTCGACAGGGACGCCGAAGGTCTCGGCTGTGAACGTTGTGAAAGGTTTCCTGGGCAATGCTTCCCGAATCCGACAGGGTGTGGTGCTGCGACACTCGCAGCTTGTTGCCTTTGTTGGATCTTGCGTGGCTCTCAGTTGTTCCATGGTCGTCGAGAGTGAAAAAGTGAGAGGGGCCGAGATGGAAAAGGTCTTTCCGACTGCTCGTCACAGGATACAAGCAGCAGCTGCGTGATCACCACGCAAGTTGTTGTGTTGGCTTGCATAAACCATCTTCAACCAACTTCAACCCGGGAATCGCGAAGAAACGCTTTGGGCAGGCTTCTGAAGTTGTGTGGAGTTGACAATCTCAAAGAAGTGTTTAAGCATTGAGGATTTGAGGGATTTGCCTGTTTCGTCTAAAGCTCGAAGGAGTCGATTCCAGTGCCTCGCAAGCTCCGAGAAGCATCGTCAAAGCCACAACTGACCTGTAGTGAGCTAAGAGTTCTACGCCGCATTTTGCCCCCCAGTCTCCATGCTGGCCATCACCTGCGTTGCTCGCAAGATGGCTACGGTCATTCCTGTTCTCCTTTCGGGCTGCGTTTGTGCTAACCGCCCGTTGAAACTTCTCCCAGTTGCTGGAGGTGTCGCACTTCAGAAATGGTTCTGGGTGGACGGTTTTGCAAAATCCGGCAAGCAACATGAGAAGCAGACAGACTGAATGCTCGCCCTGTCCTGAAGGCTACATCCAGTTCGGCGCCTTGATCTACGAAGGCGCGACGCGGAGGAGCTGCGGGAGATGAAGTCTTGCATGGGCTGGGGGAGGTGGCGAGATGTTCATCGGCTATCTGCCTTTAGCCCACATTTTGGCGGTCGCTGCAGAGCTGTGCCCTTCTCCCGCGGCTCTGAGAGTCTCCCTAACTCGAGTTCCCACTCCCTCCCTCGCTGCAGGTACTTCTATTCGACCGGCAACTGCGTGGGCTACGCCGATGCCAAGTCCCTGCTTGCAGGCGGAAGGGCGGAGAGCGGCGAGCGGCGCCGGCCGGGTCGTTTGGGTTGAGGGGCTTTTGTTTCTTTGGGAGGTCCCGAGAGGTGCTACCCGCTGGGTGGCCTGCAGGAGCCGAGAGCCGAGGGCACCAGAGAGAGAGAGACGGAGGATGCCTTCGTCCCGCGAACGCGGGAACGCGCAGAGACATTTGCCGCTTCGCCGCTTCTCTCTCTCTCTCGCTCTCTCTCTCTCTCCCCGCTTTTTTTTTCTCGCTCGTCTTGTGTCCCTTTTCTCTTTCTTTTGGATTCACTTTCTCTCTCCCTTTCTCGCCCATCTCTTCGCTCTGAGGGTGCTCCGAGGTTCAAGCCGACGCTGATGGCCGGCGTGCCCAAGGCTGTGGCGCAATGTCGGGCTTGCGCGAGATTGCCTGGCAGCTTTAAGCAGGTTTGGGAGACGATCAAAAAAGGCGGCTACCTCGACTGGGGCTTTGGGGCCTTTGTTTCAATGCAGTGCACCTCCCTCCAAGTCGGCAAAAAGCAAATCAGATGCGGGTGTGACACAAGGCTTCCGACGGCCTTAAGACCTTAAGACTCCAACTTGTGCTGAGGTGCGGAGGTGAAGGTTGAGAAAAGCGGACCTGTGTCTGGCTCTTACCGACCACCTTTGCAGCAGCCTCGCACCACATGGTCCTGGAGCTGTACGATCCGAGGGTGTCCTTCCTTTTCAAGTTGGCCATGAAGGTGAAAAAAGTAGCGGCCGGCTCCCCAGTCGTTCTGGAGCGCAGCGCATTGAGATTGCAAGCTTGGAGCTAGCGATGGCAAGCCCGGCCGAAGACAGCGTAAGCATAAGAGCAATTTCATGCGCACAAGAGAGCATCCATCGCCTGAGGTCCGTCAGAACCGGTACACTCCTTTGTTCGACCTTCTGGTGCTCAGCTCAACGTCTCTCCGTGCTTTGCGGGCACTTTGATGGTGCATGCTGCATGCTCCATTAGGTCTTCAAGAAGTTTAAGTCCATGCCGGATGCTTAGACCTCCCAGGCCAATAGCCGAGCAGCTGTCTTTTCTTGAGCTACTGGTGAGGCTTGGCGGCAGCATGAAGTTTACACTCTCTGGCGGCGGCGCCATTTCCGGCGAAGTCCAGGCTGTGCGTGGTGGATTGGCGCGCATGGGTCCCTTAAGCCTGAGGCTACTCGTCTCCGAAAGTGTGTCTAGTCCTAGTTGGTGTGTCGCGAGATGCGTCCTTGCAGGAATGGGTCCGGGCCGTCGGCTTGGAGTTCTCTGCGCTGCTCTTCTGCGGGTGCTCTGCGCGATGCGCTGCAGCTCTCAGGCGGCTTTCTCTTGCCCTTTGGTGCAGGGTTACGGCCGCGGCCTCGCATCGCAATCCTTGAGACGCCTTGAGCCAACCCTGAGCCAACTCCGCCTTCAGGGCTCACCGAGACCTGCGGAGGCGCCACGCCGCGCCGGCCAGTTCTTTTTTTTTGTGTGGGCTTGCAATCAACAGACTTGGCTCTCGCCAAGGATCCAGAGCCCCTTGGCCGAGAACCAAAGCTTCGTTTCGGACTCTGTCGCCACCAGCCGAGGCCCCTTGGATCCCAGCATCGGGGCGGTGGGCACACCCTTGGCCTCCATCGAGGTTACCCTGCACTCCGAGCTCGGGGTCCGAGTGTGTGAGAGTAGCAAGAGCAAGGCAGAGAGAGGGAGAGAGAGAGAGAGAGAGTACCCTATATATGGTCTCGTGTCGCGTGCCGGTACCCCCCCCCCCCCCCCCCCC